GAGGAGTTGGATGAAGTGCAGATACATCCGGATGACCCAGAGAGAAAGACACAAATAGGCTCCCGCCTCGAACCCAAGACGAGAGAGAAGCTGATAGAATTTCTCAAACGGAACGAAGACTGCTTCGCCTGGTCCCACGCCGACATGACTGGAATCAATCCAGACGCAATGTCCACCGCTTAAGGCAGATCCTGATCACCCACCAGTAAAACAGAAGAGGAGAAATTCGCACCTGAGCGAAACCGGATTGTCAATGAAGAAGTTGAAAAGCTCTTAAGCAACGGCATGATCAGAGAGTCCACTACCCCGAATGGTTGGCGACGTTGTAGTCGTAAAGAAAAAGAACGCAAGTGGAGAGTCTGCATCGACTTCACTGACCTGAACAAAGCCTGCCCCAAGGATTCTTTCCCACTCCCCACCACATCGCACGATGGTAGATGCGACCGCGGGGCACGAACTCCTCAGTTTTATGGATCTTTCTCCGGATACACCAGATTTTGATCATCCGGACGACCAGGAGATGACAGCCTTTATCACCGAGAGGGGAACCTACGCTACAAAGTGATGCCATTTGGACTGAAGAATGCCGGGGCCCACCTACAAACGTCTGGTCAACAAAATGTTCTCTGACCACCTAGGGAAGACCAGGAAGATACATCGATGACATGCTCGTCAAGTCCCTGATTGCCGACAACACCTTGACACCTTAGCCAGGCATTCGCCTTCTGCGGAAGTACACATGAAGCTGAACCCAGACAAGTGCTCATTCGGCGTCTCATCAGGTAAATTCTTGGGCTACCTGGTTACTCAGCAGGATAGATGCAAACCCTGACCAGATCAGAGCGGTCCTCAACATACCATCCCCGACTTGCATCAAAGACGTCCAGCGCCTTGCCGGACAGTGGCCGCCCTGAGCCGTTTCATCTCCAGATCAGCCGAAAATGTCACCTATTTTCCACGCCCTCAAGAAGTCCAAGAGTTTCGACTGGAACCTTTCCTACGAAGAGGCCTTACAACAGCTGAAGAGTATACTGACCACACCACCACTTCTTCTCAAACCTGTGGACGGGAAAGCTTTACTCCTACCTACGGTCTCAGAGACAGCCATCTCGGCGGTACTAGTTTGAGAAGATATCATCAAGCAATTACCAGTCTACTATGTGAGCAAGTCACTCCTCGACGCAGAAACGCGGTACAGTCAACTGGAGAAACTGGCCCTCGCCCTCGTCCATGCTTCCAGAACTCAGGCCGTACTTCCAATGCCACCCCATGTTGTAATCACCTCATTCCCACTCAAGAAGATATTGCACAAACCAGAACTATCAGGCCGACTCATGCAATGGACGGTGGAACTTAGTGATTTCGATATAGCCTACCAATCTCGTACCGCCGTCAAGTCCTAGGCACTAGCAGACTTCATTGCCGACTTCACGCCAAGCACCCCACCACCCAGCCGAAGAGAATTACTATGTAGAATGGCGCACCACCCTCAAAGTGGACTCTCCTAGTGGATGGATCGAGTAATGTCATGGAAGCGACTCAGAATAGTACTATCGCACCAGAGGGTGACATCATCCAGCGAGCAATCCGGTGTGGTTTCAAGTGCACAAATAACGAGGCAGAATATGAAGCCCTCCTACCAGGACTTTCCTTAGCCAGAGAAATAGGAGCCAATAGACTAGAATTGAAGTCGGACTCCCAACTCTAGTTAATCATTACAGTACGTATCAAGCACACGAGATTCAAAGATGACATCGTATCTGAGCAATGGTCAAAGAGCGCAGACCGAATTCGAAGAGTTTTCGATAGTACAGATCCCGAGAGCCGAGAACTACCATGCGGACGCCCTCGCCAACCTTGGATCAGCATCCCATGTTCCTCCCAGTCATCTCCCCCTTTATTCATGCAGTGGCCACCAACTGGAAGGCACCACCACCGAACAAGTCCCCAATGAGGCCATGGGCATTGAACAAACCGACTGCTGGATGGCCCCAATAATAAGATACCTGAAAAACGATGAGCTCCCGACTACAGAACGAAGCCCGCCGACTGAAAGCAAGAGCCGCCAGATTCACCATACATGAAGGCCAACTCCTCAGAAAGTCATTCTCGGCCCTTATCTGAAATGCATAGGCCCGAAGAAGCCCACAGTGTTCTAGCCGAACTTCACGAAGGCGATGCGCAACCACGTGGAGGGCGCAGTCTGGCGCAGCGGGTGGTCACCGCAGGGTCATTACTGTTGATTTGACTGAGAATCTCCAGATCTTTTAGATGACACCGAGTTATATCAATTGTTTGAGATTTTGCAGAGCTTTTAGTCGGCACCGAGTAATCTTCTTCATCTCCTTACCTTTAGCCCACAGCACCGCATAAAGCCCACAGACGATCATGGTTGAACCTAATATACTGAAATAATTTGTGAATTAATTACTCTTAAATCTTACATATTTTTCCTGGAAAAAATAAAGAAAATCAAATTCTTCAAGTTACCCCAAAGATATCTCTTCCATATGACAAAAAGATATTATTTATCTTCAGGGAAATGCTTCACATTATTATTGCTAGCATATAAATTCTTCTCATATCAAATTATTATTATTATTATTATTATTATTATTATCATCTATTTATTTATTTTTGAGAAAATTGGCATCAATAGAACTGTCATGAAGGTGCATGAGCTACCTTTAAAAGGTCTTTCTAGGTATGGGTTCATTTCATTTTCTCTCATATGAGATCACTTAGTACTAAACTCATCCGTTTCCTTTAGAAAGTATTAAAACCCTTTCATAATTATAAAATCCCCTAAATATTATTAACCAAATCCTTATAAAAATATCATAATTTTTTAAAATAATAAATGAGTTAAATATTAAGCGATCTCACATAGGAGAAAATGAAATCCCTTTTAGGAATAAAGATGCCACTTTATGCACTAATTTATCTATAATGTTCAAAGAGGTTGATTATTCTATTCAAGAGATATATTAAGCTTCTTTCTTAGAGAGGTAAATTGACAAATACCTGCCCAAGTGAAGGGTCTCGTTCTGTATTAACAAACCAAGGAAGGCTACTACCACAAGCATAAGAGGGTTGAAGGAAGATACAAATAAAGTCCCCTTCATACGCACACACCAGAATATCAAGGTCATCAACAAACCAGAAGAAACAATTCCCTGCAACAAAAGCATTAAAAACATTACATAATCAAACTATTAGTAGAAGAAGACGATATTTTTGTCAGCTATTTTGAAAATAAGAGAACATACAGTATAAGCAACAGTAAGAAGCCTAATATTGAAGCCCAACTTCCACTGATTCCAATCTGTTTCCCTGAAAAGGGCAAACACAACCGACTCTATTGCTGCCGTTAGAGACACCAGAGCTGTGGTTGAGTACTGACAAGGGTATTGCTCACTCATTTTAGCTTGTAAATATTGAAAGGTAAAATAAATAAATCAATAAATTCTTAACACCTTGAGGCTTATATATGTGGTTAACCAAATTTAAAATTAAAGACCTGAATGATCAACCAGGAAGCGTAAGTGAAGCAACTAGCGAGAACCAATAAACATCCTGTTAGGGCCAAAAATCGTCCTTGGCCCAAATAGGGAAATAGGACCATTAGCGAAGGTGGACCAGGCCCAGTCTTGCAAAGGCCCAAGCCATGTTAGTTCTATTTTAACATGAGGTATAAAACCGGCCCAAATCAAGCGGGCACAAGCCTCTCAAACCTAGCCCATTTCCTAGGTCCACGGACGAATCCAGAGCCCACAGCCCTGTCATAGTACTTTCCTACTCCCAGTCAACCTCCTATTCAAAGACGTCTTCCTATTCCTGATCGCTTTCCTACTTAGCGAATTCTCTTAAACGGAGTTATCTTCCTATTCGGACAGGGGAAGACGACTCACCACGACCCTATTTCTTCTAGGGTTTACATCAGAGTCAGATGAGGACTCCTATTCCCACCAGGATTGGGAGACCAGACGACCACTATATAAGCAGAGGCCTGCCCTCTCACAAAGGATCATCGACATTACACCTTCACACCCGAGACTCTTTACTCGAGAGTTTCACTGATTCGCCGTAGTCACAGTCCCCAACTAGACTTCCGGTAATCTCTTATTCCTTAGCCCTCACTATATTAAGCCTTTCAGCCTTGCTGACTTGAGCGTCGGAGTGCCTACGGCAAACACCACCTTGGTGTTTCCCGTTCGCTTCACACGTGTGTTTCTCTACGTGTGCAGGTACCGCAGATCGCTAGTGGCCTCAACCTCAAGGGATCAGACCCTCCTTTCTGTACAGGTAGATTTTTACGTCTACAGTTTGGCGTCCACTGTGGGGCCTCTAGCAATCGTTTGGCGTGACGAACCCAACCACGTGGAGGAATAATCTATGGCTGATAATCCAGACGACGTTAACTCAGGCCTCGAGGCCAGACTGGAGGCTCTGACCGCTCTCATGCAACAAAACTTAGACAAAGTAGCCGCACTGGAAGCCGAAAACACATCCATCAGGGTCGAGAACCAGTCGCTCAAAGAGAAAGTAAGCCGATTTTATGAACTCGAGTTTCTGCCCGACCAAGCACCCCCCAATCGGTTCCACACCACTATCCCATCCATGCAACCCCTCTCCACACCTGAACATCGACCCTCAGATTCCGGTAAAGGGCCACGTCAGTTTAACGTACTGGCGCTCGACTACTCCGTTTTGACTAACGGAGATAAAGATACAACAGGCGCGGTCCAGTCGATCCATCCCAACCTCATGACCAAAACGATCCAGCAATAGAGAACCCGAAGGATCAACCCATCCCCACCATACCACTTCACCTCCAGTCAACCCAAACACAAACCCCATACGGCCTGGCTCACCCTCGCGGGTTGAACGGCCAAACCAAACCAACTCCAACGCCTGAGCCCATCCATCCCGAATGACCGAACGACTACCACATAACTCCCCTTACCATTCATGTGGGGAAGAACAATAGAACAGTCACAATGGGAGTCGTCCAACCAGAAGGGATGAACGGAGACACATGCTACCAAGGAGCGCATGACGGACTGATTTATCAGACTACCCCCCGAGGGATGACCCCACGGAACGTACCAGACCCAGTAAGAAGGGATGACCCGATAGTATCCCCTTCCCCTGTGGAACAGTTACTGGCCAAAAGACTGGCCGACGTTGAGGCAGTAATGAGGCGTATCCTGGGGATACCAGTCCCAACCAAGAAGAGCAGACCGAATTGTTACGCTGATTCACCCTTTGCGGATGAGATCGCCCTGGCTGACATGCCCCAGAAATTCACTATCCCCAACATGAAACCATACGACGTTACCACTGACCCGGATGACCACATAGCCCTATACAAGCAGTGGATGTTCACCGTAGCCATACCCCGACTGCTCAGAGAAGCCTGTATGTGCAAAAGTTTCGGTTCTAGATTGACCGGCCCGGCGCTCCAATGGTACACGAACCTCCCGAACGGGTCCATCGATTCATTCGCCCAACTTACTGACACCTTTGTGGAACAGTTCGCCAGCAGCAAGAAGCTAGAGAAGTTGTCGGCCGACTTGTACCGAGTATACCAACGAAGGGGGGAACCATTAAGAGAGTATGTTAGCAGATTCAACAAAGAGAAGATCACTATTCCCTCATGTAACCCCGAGACTGCTGTGGACGCTTTCAAAAAAGGCCTCCTACCAGATAGAGAACTATACAAAGAGCTTACAAAGCTGGGCTGCACCACAATGGAAGACGCTCTGGCCCGAGCCGTTATCCAGATAAGGTGGGAGGAAGATGAGATGAACCGAGCTGCCCATTCCAGACACGAACCAAGGCTGAGCGACAGGAAGCTAGAGCCTAGACCGGTAGAACACCGCTACCAACCTCCAGCGCGCAATATGGGCAGAACCAGAAGACCATATGACCACCAACCCTTGAGGAATGATGACAGACATTTCGGATCGAACCAGCACAAAATACCAGAGTACAAACTCAATGTCGAACCAACCCAGGTTGTAGCGATAATGAAAGGAATGGGATCCACCGTCAAATGGCCTGGCAAACTCAATCCCGAAGCAAGGAGAGACGCAACCAAGTGGTGCGAATTCCACAATGATCAAGGGCACAACACCGCGGACTGTATCGCTTTGCGGCTCGAGGTCGCCGCGCTTCTGAAGAGGGGACATCTCCGGGACCTACTCACTGACAAGGGGAAGAACACCATTGGCTAGAAGGGCCCCAAACAACTATCGCCCCCTCCGCGAGAACCGACACCTAAGGGTTTCTGCTCGCTCATCTTCGGGGGATCAGAAATCAGTGGGGTAAGTTACTCGTCAGCCAAGCGGTATGCTAGAACCAACCACCATGAAATCCAGTCTGTTCATCCGGTCTCGAGGTCATACTCCCATCAAGTGATCCAGTTCGAGGATGACGAGCCGATCACCCTGGTTGCCCCTCACCACGATGCTTTAGTCCTCTCCCTGCAAATAGCCAACATCCTAGTGAAAAGGGTATTCGTAGATGGGGGTTCGTCAGCAAATATCCTGTTCCTCGAAGCAGTAAAAGCGATGGGGCTGGAAGAAGCAAATATCAACCGACGACCGACACTGTTGGTTGGATTCAGCTCGGAACAAAAATACACAATCGAGGAGATCACCCTTCCTATCTATGCTGGCGGAGTGAACAAACAGACAGTCTTCCTGGTGATCGACTGCCCATCCCCCTACAACGTCATTTTGGGCCGTCCCTGGATCCATGACATGCGGGCAGTGCCATCTACCTTCCATCAGACGATCAGGTTCCCAACCAAGTGGGGAGTGCGGGAGATCAAGGGCGACCCTAAAGCTTCTAGGGATTGCTACAAGAACGCCTTCAAAGGCAAGGGAAACTCCTCATAGCAATTACAGTCTCATCCGACCCCCCGAACCGAGCCCGACCAACCGACTATTGAGGAGTTGGATGAAGTGCAGATACATCCGGATGACCCAGAGAGAAAGACACAAATAGGCTCCCGCCTCGAACCCGAGACGAGAGAGAAGCTGATAGAATTTCTCAAACGGAACGAAGACTGCTTCGCCTGGTCCCACGCCGACATGACTGGAATCAATCCAGACGCAATGGTCCACCAGCTCAAGGCAGATCCGGATCACCCACCAGTAAAACAGAAGAGGAGGAAATTCGCACCTGAGCGAAACCGGATCGTCAATGAAGAAGTTGAAAAGCTCTTAAGCAACGGCATGATCAGAGAGGTCCACTACCCCGAATGGTTGGCGAACGTTGTAGTCGTAAAGAAAAAGAATGGCAAGTGGAGAGTCTGCATCGACTTCACTGACCTGAACAAAGCCTGCCCCAAGGATTCTTTCCCACTCCCGCACATCGACACGATGGTAGATGCGACCGCGGGGCACGAACTCCTCAGTTTCATGGATGCTTTCTCCGGATACAACCAGATTTTGATGCATCCGGACGACCAGGAGAAGACAGCCTTTATCACCGAGAGGGGAACCTATTGCTACAAAGTGATGCCGTTTGGACTGAAGAACGCCGGGGCCACCTACCAACGTCTGGTCAACAAAATGTTCTCTGACCACCTAGGGAAGACCATGGAAGTATACATCGATGACATGCTCGTCAAGTCCCTGATTGCCGAGCAACACCTTGACCACCTTAGCCAGGCATTCGCCGTTCTGCGGAAGTACAACATGAAGCTGAACCCAGACAAGTGTTCATTCGGCGTCTCATCAGGTAAATTCTTGGGCTACCTGGTTACTCAGCGAGGGATAGAAGCAAACCCCGACCAGATCAGAGCGGTCCTCAACATACCATCCCCGACTTGCATCAGAGACGTCCAGCGCCTTGCCGGACGAGTGGCCGCCCTGAGCCGTTTCATCTCCAGATCAGCTGATAAATGTCACCTATTCTTCCACGCCCTCAAGAAGTCCAAGAGTTTCGACTGGAACCTTTCCTACGAAGAGGCCTTACAACAGCTGAAGAGGTATCTGACCACACCACCACTTCTTTCCAAACCTGTGGACGGGGAGAAGCTTTACTCCTACCTAGCGGTCTCAGAGACAACCATCTCGGCGGTACTAGTTCGAGAAGAATCATCAAAGCAATTACCAGTCTACTATGTGAGCAAGTCACTCCTCGACGCAGAAACGCGGTACAGTCAACTAGAGAAACTGGCCCTCGCCCTCGTCCATGCGTCCAGGAAGCTCAGGCCGTACTTCCAGTGCCACCCCATTGTTGTAATCACCTCATTCCCACTCAAGAAGATATTGCACAAACCGGAACTATCAGGCCGACTCATGCAATGGACGGTAGAACTTAGTGAGTTCGATATAGCCTACCAATCTCGTACCGCCATCAAGTCCCAGGCACTAGCAGACTTCATTGCCGACTTCACGCCAAGCACCACCACCCAGGCCGAAAGAGAATTACTATGTATGAATGGCGCACCACCCTCAAAGTGGACTCTCCTAGTGGATGGATCGAGTAATGTCAATGGAAGCGGACTCGGAATAGTACTAATCGCACCAGAGGGAGACATCATCCAGCGAGCAATCCGGTGTGGTTTAAAGTGCACAAATAACGAAGCCGAATACGAAGCCCTCCTAGCAGGACTTTCCTTAGCCAGAGAAATAGGAGCCAAGAGACTAGAAGTGAAGTCGGACTCCCAACTCGTAGTTAATCAATTACAAGGTACGTACCAAGCACGAGATTCAAAGATGACATCGTATCTGAGCATGGTCAAAGAGCTGCAGACCGAATTCGAAGAGTTTTCGATAGTACAGATCCCCAGAACTGAGAACTACCATGCAGACGCCCTCGCCAACCTTGGATCAGCACTCCCATGTTCCTCCCAGTCATCAATCCCCCTTTTATTCATGCAGTGGCCAGCCAACTGGAAGGCACCACCACCGAACAAGTCTCCCAATGAGGCCATGGGCATTGAACAAGCCGACTGCTGGATGGCCCCAATAATAAGATACCTGGAAGATGATGAGCTCCCGACTAACAGGAACGAAGCCCGCCGACTGAAAGCAAGAGCCGCCAGATTCACCATACATGAAGGCCAACTCCTCAGAAAGTCATTCTCGGGCCCTTATCTGAAATGCATAGGCCCAGAAGAAGCCCACAGTGTTCTAGCCGAACTTCACAAAGGCGAATGCGACAACCACGCGGGAGGGCGCAGTCTGGCGCAGCGGGTGGTCACCGCAGGGTATTACTGGCCGACCATATGCACAGACTCAACCACTTATGCAAAGAAATGCGACAGCTGTCAGAGATTTGCTCACGTCTCACANAAGGTAAAACTCGTTTTTCACTTGATTCATGCTTTGTTATCTTGTCTTCTTTAGACTTGTAGTAGTTTTTGTGTGGTTTAGAGCAGTTTTGGGTTAATTTTGGCTTAGTTTGAAGGAAAATCAAAGTTTTTAGGTTTTCCATTTCTTGGGTTTACTTTTGGGAGATATCTGGCATTGCATTTGGTGGAGAAGAAGAGTATTAAGCTATTTAGGGTTTTGATTTGACTCTGCCTTGACTTGAGTAGTGTGATTGAGTCGAGTAAAGAACAGTCTCTAGGGTGGTGTCTATTGGCTTGGCATCAGGTCCAGTTGAAAGAAGATTGCAAGATACGGTCTTTTTCATTAGAGATTTTGTGTTGAGCCCAAGATGTTGGGTTATCGCTTGGATTACTAAGATGCACCGACTTATGTAGTTTGCCTAGAGGAGGGAGGATCCTTCAAAGGTGGCGATGGAGTTACAGTGGCACAACCTCTTGATCAGGTCAAATTGGATGACGAAGGAGCAAGAGAGAGGGTCGAGTTGCGTGACCCTATTAACATACACATTTTGAAGGAGAAGAAGCTTCCACGAGTGGGAGCCTTGGATTGCAGCCAAGTCGTCTCATTAAGGGTATACTCAACATCCCAGCCACAAAAAAGTTTAAAGGTTAACAAAACACCCGCAGCCACCCAAGACCACCGCTAGCCCCCGACATTAGTTGTCGTAATGGCACATGATCGACGGAATCTTACCGGTTGTGCATCGGTAAGGCCTTTTTTGGCCAAGGATCAGTGATCCATGGCCAGAAATAGCTAGATCTGGCCATTTTTATGGTTTTTTCATGGCCAAGGATGTGGTCATGAAACAACCATAGATCTAGTCTTGAAACGGCCATGGATTTGTGATCCATGGCCGGAAATGGCTTTGCCAGCGCATAGACAACCATATACGGCCAATCGTGCACCATTCCATCGACTACCGGCGGTGGCAGCTGGCTACTGGCAGCGGCTTGAGGTGAGTGGAAGTGATTTTGCCACAAATTAAAGTTTTATATGGCTGAGGAGTGTTAGCAAAATTTCAAATGTTGGGGGTTAAAAGAAATAATTCAAATTTTTTATTATTATTATATTAATATTTAAAAAGGAAGACAATTGAATAATCTATATAACGCACTCACCCATTTATCCTCCTAATCAAATTACTTACCAATTTATTCGAATCAACCAAACACACTTTTTAAACATTCACAATAATCTTCAGGATAATATATATTTTCATTAATATAATATCTCCTTATAATAAAATATTATATGACCCAAATGCGCCCTTTGATACGGAAGAAATGAAGGGAGGTTTAAGCTGGGATTTAGTTTAGTTTAGTGTGATAGAGTAAGAGCTAATTATGGGTTATTTTTCGGAGTAGTGCTACAGCCACCGACGGTAGTGCATCGAATTTATGCACTAAATGATATGACAAAATCCTGACCGTTGATTAATATCAAGTTAAAATTAATCAACGATCAGGATTTTACCATTTCATTCGGTGCATAAATTCGGTATATATGGGAGGTTAATTAGAACCAAATATGTCGAGAAGCAAAGATAGATCACCAATACACCTAGGAGTTGATGGAATCCAGTCAGAAAGTTGGTGCCAAAAATCGTCCTTGGCCCAAATAGGGAAATAGGACCATTAGCGAAGATGGACTAGGCCCAGTCTTGCAAAGGCCCAAGCCATGTTAATTCTATTTAACATGAGGTATAAACCGGCCCAAATCAAGCGGGCACAAGCCTCTCAAACCTAGCCCATTTCCTAGGTCCACGGACGAACCCAGAGCCCACAGCCCTGCCATAGTACTTTCCTACTCCCAGTTAACCTCCTATTCAAAGACGTCTTCCTATTCCTGATCACTTTCCTACTTAGCGAATTCTCTTAAACAGAGTTATCTTCCTATTTAGACACGGGTAAGACGACTCACCACGACCCTATTTCTTCTAGGGTTTACATCGGAGTCATACGAGGACTCCTGTTCCCACAAGGATTGGGAGACCAGACGACCACTATATAAGCAGAGGCCTGCCCTCTCACAAAGGACATCGACATTACACCTTCACACCCGAGACTCTTTACTCGAGAGTTTCACTGATTCGCCGTAGTCACGGTCCCCGACTAGACTTCCGGTAATCTCTTATTCCTTAGCCCTCACTATATTAAGCCTTGATGATGAAGTGATTCAGCACCTCCCAAACTAGGCGAGGCACAGGCAACCTCAACCTATCATGAAACCATTTCTCGTACACGCAGACCCAACCTTCAGCCCCATCTCGTCGACCGCGGGGTCTAGACTTTAACAGAACCAGGGATATGATACAGTGTACGGATACGCCACACGTCACCATCCCTCAACACGGCGGATAACCCTGGTCAGAATCCCACTGCCTGCTGGCTCGGCCTTCCCCAGAGCTGCTACCGGATGAAGAGGGACTGTCAGCCCCTCCGGAGTTCCCCACTCCTACCATACCGACCGAGCCACTCGACTCGGCTCCACTCGACCCTGGAGCAGCCACATAACTCGGTCGGCACACCGACCGGAACATCCTTCAGGCATTACCACATATCGGGGCACGCTCATACTCGTCCCCCAAATCCACCTCTTGACTCGAACTATGGACGTTCGCCCGACATCGGATCACTCGCCGTTCCAACCGACCGACTCCTTAGGAAACTAAATGAAGTATTAACTAACAAAAGATGCCCTTCAACACCGAACGGTGCCCTCAAAACCGGCTCCTCAACCTCGGTCGACCCGTTCTATCGAAGGGAACCCAGTCGCCCCACCTAGCCGACCGACCGAAAGGGTGAAAACTTGGTGTCAATCTTACCACGAGCCTTACTCTGGGTCGACCCCTCCAACCGAACGAACCAAGCCAAATTCAAGAACACCAACTCGTTCACCCCGGACGACCGATCCACCTCAAACTCCAATCCTAGCCGTCTGCTCACCTTGATCACTACTCCTCCACCTAAACTCACTCGCTCGAGCGACCGATCCCTAATCACACTCCTCGCACTCGGTCAGACGTACCGACCGACCCAAACAACGCCAAAATGACTTCGTCTTCAGCCCAAAACCCAAAAACCCCAGAAATTCACCTACGACCGGATTCTTCCCCAATACCCACCGAAAAATCAAACCTAAACTTGTTCTCCAAAAATCCTAAATAACAAAACACTCGAAAATCCAGTTTCAACCCGCTCAAAAAATCAAATCACCTTTATCCTACTTCCCAGAAATTTCTCAAAAGTAAAATATACCTACAGAAACACAAAACGATCTGAAAGAAGAAAATTACCTTTGAAGATTGAAAAGAAAAAAACCACCTTCACTCAAGAACCTGGGACAGAAACGCAGGAAAAGGGGGAGAGATTTTTGGAAGAAAACGTAAAACCAACGTGAAGGAAGATGAACAGTCTGCTCCCCAATTTTGTAAAAAAAGGCAGACACGTGGCAGGCTGTGATTGGTCAGTTGTCAGGAGTCTCTTCGTTTCCCGCTTCCGAAACGATGAATCGATCGCCACATACACGTGGCAGCGATCCTAACCACCTGGGAAAGTGGACCTGTACGGATTCCGCAGCTCAGTCGCCCGACCCTCCTGACCGACTCAGCCTGAACATCCAGAAATATGTCCTGACACACGCCCAACATTCGCCCAATGGTGTACTAGGCCGTTCGATCGTCGCCCCGATCAAGGTTCTCAGGCCAAGAGCCTTCTCAGACGTCTCGCATTCAACTGTCCCAGAAGCCCGGACGACCGACGCAAGAGCTTGGCGTAGCCCGAGTTAAAATCCTCAGAAAGCCATCAAGCTCGTCCATTCGTCCATCCGAGGCGAACGAGTGGCCAACAGTTCGGTCTCCCCACCTATCTGGTCGTCCCAACTGCCCGACCGAATGGATCTCCTCGGTAAATTTCCTGAGCTTCGCCCGACCTGGCAGGACGAATAATCGCCCCTCACGCGGTTTCCGTGATATCGCGCTAACGTACCGAGCGCCTAACCTAGCTTTCGCTCTTCGGCTCATCGAACCGATTAGGCACAACGCATGGTGGCATGCTCTTGTCATGAATGGAACCGACCAAAACCCAATCAAATCACTTGCGTCGGTCAGCTCTCTCCAAGATCGCTCGTCCATGAGGAAAGAACGAGCTCCCTTCGCCCGACTCGCGAGAACACCTTAAGAGCGACCTGCACGATCCAAGACTTGGCACCTTGGCTCTGGCCCCATCCAACCCAGAAACTGAACTAAAGACGCACCGCCACTCATCCAGGTGAATACATACCCGGTCAACCCGGCCGAACGAATGATTCCTAAACCATTGTGTCAGGGTCAGCACCAACCCAGCCCGACATAGGGCCTACATGCCTCAGCCTTCAGGCCACGCTGAGGTAACACGCACAAGAATAAGGGGGAGAAACAAAAGAACAGGTGATTCATCCAAAGAAACAACATGAGAAACCAAAACAATCAAAAGTCATATATATAGGGCACCAAACGCCCAAGTTCAAAATACAGAAAATGGCACAGACGCCAGATGAAAGGGCATCGCAGGCCCCAAAAGACAAAAAAAAAAAAAGAGGGCACTAAGCATCCTCGGCACGAGCCTCATCCTCCGTCAAATCAGTCGCCAGGCAAGCACCACTAGTGCTTGGCCCCGGAGCCGGGCCGCTAACGTCCCCAACGCCCGGCTGACTAAGCTCAGGCGCCTGCTCCTCGCCCTGCGCCACCGGATGACTAATTTCCTCTTCCAACAACTCTTGCATAAGCAAAATATCCTCATCCGGATCCCAATGAGAGGTACGCCCTTCTTTGAACTCCAGCATGAGCTCGCCTCGGGCCTTAATGATGGCGTCATCAGCAATAGAGATGCACTGCTCCCTGAGGGACTCGACCTCCACGGTCCTCTCGGCTAACTCACGCCGCAGCCTCTTGACCTCAGCCTCGCTATCCCGGAGGCGCTACTGACTCTCCTGTTCAGCCTTTCGGGATGCTGCCTCCTTCTGCCGCAAACCAGCGT